ACATAAAACCTTCTGAAGTGGCTTGGAAGACTTGTTTTTCGCCAGTCTTAAAAGCATTAACACAACAATTTCACAAGAAATCCATAAGTTGCTTTCCTACAAAAATGGAGATACGTGCGCTTTGCTCATGAAAGGATCGAAGGCGGTAATTGTCGGTCACGGTTCTGTTTGTAAATCTGGCGGTAAAATAAAAAATGAGTAAAAATGAAGATAATATAGACACATCGTATTTTATGTAAAAAATTCCCAAAGAAGACGGGGTAAAAACCACGAGACAAGTGTAAAAAGATTTAATTATAAAAAATGAGGATTCGCCAATTTGTAGCCATTCATTTTACTTGTAGCTAAAAATTGACCAATTTGTTGTCATTCATTTTACTTGGCCACTATTTAGTCACATGGTTAAATCTAGTCCACACAATTTTGTGGACTTGAATCGTGAGTTTTTGGGCTTTTCTAATTTTGAGCCTTTGGGCCTAAGCTTAATCCAATAGGTTCGACATTTTTGGAGGTCCTGAAAGAGTTGAATAAGGTCGAGAAGCTCGAGAGTTGCAAGAAGAGTTTCGAAGATACTTTCAAAGAGCAACATGAGAAAATATTGAAGGAGACTTGGCCTTGTTGCCGGCTTGAGATCTCGTCTTTTGCGGGACTGATGCCGGAAGAAATTCATTGCCCGGTCTGTAATGGTGTCCATAGCATGAAAACGAGGGAGATCATCGTTTACGAGTGTTGCCATGAAGTTACTACTAGCGAGGCTTTGTAAAAGCATTACGTGTCTAGTATTTTTATTTTTATTATTATGTTTTTCTTGGCTAGTTTCCTCGATTGCAGAAATAAAGGGTAGGTTTCATGTAATTAAGTTACCATGAATGATTCTTTACCTGATTCCTCAGTTGTCTGTGTGTGTTTATGTATGTCCTTTTTGCGATTCCAACTGTAAAAGACATATTTTTTACGTTGGTCATGTATTTATTAGAGGCCTTTTAATTCGGATTTGCATGTATTAATATTGTTTCAATAATAAAGATAAGAGTACCGTTATGTTACATTTCGTTACAATTTTTTAATCTTATTTTTGGTTGACATATTATATCTCAAATTTATTTAATTGATATTTCTAATATATTCGAATTTGTCGTGATGCTTTTTTTTTTTTTACAATAAAAATCATATAATCACTTAATGAAAATTAGGTATTTTCTTTCGTCAATCATTCGCATGCGCCGTGGAAACTTTTACATAGTAAAACCGAGATGGCTCTCAAATTCATGGGGTTTTATCTCGGAGGAGGAAATGAAAAAACATTTTGTTTTTTCAATACAAGTTTGAGAAACATATATATATATATATATATATATATTTATATATATGGAGAGCTCTGAAAGAATTCGGCTACAAGTTTGATTTAGCTGGTAGTGCCCCTTTTATCGAGTCAGTCCTGAAATTCAATTCCAATAAAGAAGATTCCTACTATATGGATTTTGTAAATTATTTCCTCACTTTGTGCCATTTGGAAAATAAAAAACTAATGCAATTTTTATGGTTTGAATGTGTCGGCAAACTTAAAGTTTTATTTTTATTTTTTATTTTTATGAATGGCGAGAGACGATAACTAATATTGGCAAACTTAAAGGTTCATTTTAATAAAAACGAAAAAAAAAATAAAAAGAAAAAAGCAAAGAATACGTTGGAACTGATTTTTGTAATCACGACACATAAATAGTTCCATTTTGTAAATAATATTCTATGGTAATGATTTATGGATAGGTCATTTCATTTCTAGTGGACATAAAAAAAATTATTAGAATCTTATCATAAGAAACTACCTAAATAAAAAAAAATATATATATTATAATCTTATCATAAGAAACTACCTAAATTACAAGTTGGAGGAGGTTGCTTAAGTCACATCAAGTTAGTTTATCAATCTTTTGGAAGCTGTTAGGAGGTGGACCAATAATAATTTTTATATTTTAATACTTCCTCTCACATGTGGGCTGGACAATGAGCAAATCTGTGGGTAAATTAATTAGAAAGCCCAACACGTAAATATTTAAGCTCGAGATGTGTTAAAAACCCAATATATGATGACAATTTAAATGTGGATAAATAGTGTAATTACGGGAGTTTGAACTCAGGACCTCGTGTTCTGATATCATGTTAGTTTACCAATCCATTTTAAAAGCTTAAGTTGTTATGAGGTAGGTCAACAATAGTTTTTATATTCTAACACATCATGCTCTTAGGCGGACAAAGTTGAGGATGATCAATAAGGAGTCTTATTAATTTAATCAACAAATCAAGCCAATAGGAGCTCAGGTTCCAGTTCCAGCTAGTTATTTTTCAATCTATTCTGGAATAGCTTTGCACAAATCTACAAATTTAGCTGTATAGATCCCTCACAAACCATTACAGTTACAATCACAATTGTTAGTTTTAAAAACCAAATAGCACGTAAATGGCAGAAGCGTGGCATAATATATATATTTTAAGATTTTTTTTTTTCAAAACTTTGAACGAGTCACTATAAATACATTAATTTATGTAAATATGTAAAGTGAAAATAAGAATATTACCATCGTCCGATTAATCAGATAACTTCAAAAAAATTTTAACAATGAACGATTCATCTTCTTTAAATTCTTAGGTCTTCCGTGCCAATCTCCGGTACTAAATGAAAGGAAATGTGGATGTCTGGAGAAAACAAATGGAAAGATTACACACTCAGTTTTTGAATCCTGCTATGATCTTAACACATGAGAAAGCATAGATTAAAACTAAGAAATTCTCTTGGTTTTTCTTTTCTCTAAAAGAGGAAAAACTGAATGTCTAAAGAGTGTATTTTCTATATTCCCTAAATACCCCTATTTAGTGTTAGGAGGTAGAATTCTAATTGGAAATTGCCTATTTTTAACAATTAAAAATAAATAATCACTTGTGTTCCATGGAAGATATGGGCGCGCCACACAGGGAAACTTTGTGTGACGCTGCTCCTAATTACTTAGCAAATAATTAGGTAATGATAGGAATTTTGATGAACTTAGAAGAGCGATTTTAAATTTTTGCCTAATAATACGATAGCATATATGAGAATAGAATAGGAATATATCTATATTACATGTGTAGTCATAGTGAGTGCCTTAACTTAGTGAATTTATACTAGTTCACGCTTCATAGGAATGTAGGAGTGTGGTTAGTATAAATATATCTGTTAGTTTATCGAAAGAGGCAAGTAGAGATTTTAATGCACTTGATTAACAATTCAACTAATTAAAATTAATCGATTAGATAGTGAAATCAATTTGAATGAATTTTATTAGGTGAAAGAAATTGTAGACCTAGAGAACTTTTTTATTTTACTTTGATAGATTTCCGTTTGTTATTTTTCTTTTCTTTAATAGATTGTTCAAATAATCCTTGAGCTAACCAGTTTTAGTAACTATTCCTAATTAGACACAATCTCCGTGAAAATAATACTCTAATAATCACTTTATTATTTGTTTACGATTCTGTGCACTTGCAGATTTTCTCACAACATCTCGCTGTTAAGTTTTGATCACGGGGAACCTCTCGCGGTGTTGGCTTCCTTTCTTTAATATATGGTGGAGTCCATTTTTTTTTTTAACAATTTTAATACCGAATCCTATAACTTATGTAAATAAAAAAAAAAAAAGGAGTTTTGTAACTTAATTTTGTCTCCAATTCCCAGTAATTAAACGCGTCATAAATTATCCGTACATAGAGTATTCTCTTCGTTTTTATACTCTTTGGGACGTCATTTAGGTAAGAAAAAGTTTATACTGCGGAAGACACTTTGGAACAAATTGTACTTGAGATTATTCTCCCGCGAACCTCATCTTAACAAGTAATACCCTCACTTTTATATTTCTTCTTAACCACAGATTCCTCCAGTTTTCTCTTTTCTTTATGTCTCGTGTATTATAGTTTTAATTTTATGAGACACGTTGTGTCCTGTTGGTACAATATACGCTAGTTCTAAAACCAAAAGAGAAAAAGGGAAGAATTAACTTATAAAAGACGTTTTGTCGAACCTCATCTTAACAAGTAATACCCTCACTTTTATATTTCTTCTTAACTACAGATTCCGCCAGTTTTCTCTTTTCTTTGTGTCGTGTATTATAGTTTTAATTTTATGAGACACGTTGTGTTCTGTTGGTACAATATACGCTAGTTCTAAAACCAAAAGAGAAAAAGGGAAGAATTAACTTATAAAAGACGTTTTCAATGGATGTATATTGCAAAATTTTGTTTCAAGTAAAACGTATAGGGGATTTTTTTTTTCCGTAGAATTTTTTTATTTGGAGTTAATTTTAACGAGACATCTCCAGTCTTTTTGGGCGAAAGAGTGAATCTTTAACTCGGAAGCTTCATTGAGTTCAAGTTTTGTGTTTTTCATGATAGAAATGTTTTGTAAGCATTTTTGATCGGTTTATTTCAGGTACTTTTTCTTTTTTGTTATTTTTCTTTAACTTTTGTAATTCTTTTCCCTTTTACTTTAATATATTAAAGGGAGTTTCTCTGATAGTCTGTTCGATAGGTAGTTTCAGCTTTTGACTGTTGGATATGGTCAAAATCACATCAGATTTAAAAAGTATATAAAGAACAAACAGATTTTAATACAAATACGACGGCTGTAAAGTAAAGGATTACCGGTAGTCTATATATTTTTACAAGGACTACTAGATAAAGTCCGTTTCCATGATGCTAATTTTTATTTTTCATTTTTTCATCTTAAAAAAGTTTTTCTTTGTACTTTTCAATTTTCGTACTATTATAATAATATTTATACCAATTACTTTAGGTTACTAATTTACAAAATTATTTCTTAATGTTCACGCATTGCAAATATTCTAGTGAGGAAGACATATATAAATAACTGAATTTGCTAGCTAGACAAAAACATTGGCATCACTAATCATTGTGAGCTCTATTAAACTTACAAAGAGCAAGCACACCGAAGACAGAAAATAAAAACCAAAATGTTTGTTCCTCGTTTGCCCTTTCCAGAGATAAGCTCAAGTCCGAGTTTCCAGCAGCGGCAGGAGGTGATTAGGCAAATCAGAGCTGCCATAAAAGGTTCTTGGGACGACGTTGTGAAAATATACGAGGCACAACGCGATGTGGCTCACAAGGCCAAGATCACCAAGATGGGGTACACGGCACTGCACATTGCGGTTTCCGATGGCGAAGAGGACATCGTTGAGAAACTTGTAAAAACAGTTTCCAATGTGCCTGGAGCTCTCGAAGTCAAGAACAACGCAGGCAATACACCTCTCCACATTGCAGCAGCAACGGGAAATATACGAATGTGTAGGCGCATTGTCGGATCAATCGAAAGAGGTTCGCAATTGGTCAAGATTCAGAATAACGACGGAGAAACTCCTCTCTTCATGGCTGCTCTACATGGCAAAAAGGACACTTTCCTCTATCTGAATTCTTTGGTGTATTTGGACGAGAATATTTCTAGCCCTTATGTTAGGAGGACAAGCGATGGCAATACAATTCTGCATTGTGCAATAGAGGGGGAGTACCTTGGTAAGATAAGACATCATTTTATTTTCAAGTTGTCATCTAAACAAAAGTAAAATAAAATTGTTGTAAAAAGAGAAAATTGCACGTCTAATTAGCACCACATGTTTGTTGTACGAACATGTACTAGAACATATACAAGAAACTATCTATATATATACCATATTTTGATATGAAGTCCAAACTAGTGATATAAAACACTCTTGTCAATTGTATATATTGTACTCGACAGATTTGGCATTTCAGAGAATCCATCTCTACAAGGCTGATCTTGTTAATTCTGTCAATGAGGAAGGGATTACCCCTCTTCATGTTTTAGCAACTAAGCCTTCAGCCTTCAGAAGTGGTTGCAAGCTTGGTCCATGGAGAGGAATAATTTATGAATGTAAGTATGTTTAACCATTTCTTGCTTATAATTACTCTTATTCCTTTCTGTTTTCTATAATTTTACCATATATTTTAGTATAAAACAAAGTTTGAGTTTCAGTATATAAGTGTATAGATTTTATATCTACGCGCGGCCCTCTTTGAAGATGTAAATTTCATATATAACATTTCTAGCAAAAAGATTTCATATATAACATATACATATAGACGTAAGAAACATAATATGACATTTTATCAACATTAGAGTTATCCAAGATGTTGGAATGCTGTAACATTAATTAAATTATTGTTTTCTTTCCTAATTTGAGTTGTACATGACTTGGCTCTATTTTAATCTTTTCTATTTGTCCTAACTTATTTTTTAAAGTAAACGAGTTAGCATTTTTTTTCTTTTTTAGAATTTTTTTCATTCTATTTAAAATTTATGATTAGTAGACATTTTTACTCTTGTTAACACCTATCAGTAATTGCCACAATACAAAGGCAAACCGACATAAATATAGAGAAAATTATAAGAATAACCATTGTCTTTCATTATTCTATTATTTATGCGATTAAAAAACATTATGATAGAATAAGAAACGTATTCTGAATATGAAAAATATTTTGTTAGAAAGATATTCTTGTAGAATATAAAAGACATTCTATAAGAATATTAATAGCATGAATGATAAATTTAAAATTAATGAAAAAAATAAAATAGTATTATTGATCACATTCTTGAAAAGTTCTAATATGTCATAATTTTTTCAGATTATGTGGAAGTAAGCTTTAAAAATTAAACTACATCGATTATGATAATGAGCCAATATTTTTCTCTATAGTATCCTAGCTTGTACCTAATCGAATATTGTAGGTTTGGTAAATAATTAATTACGTCTAGATATTATGCAGGTAACTTATTTCCGGACAACTATACAAACTGCTACAATTTTGTCAATCTCTTACACAGGGTAATTCTGGTATTTACTGGACGAGGTATGCATCAAAACCTATACGTATATGCTCCCGCGATTAAAATTACAAACGCAATATTATTTTCTTTTTACCTATGTTTTATCTCTTTTACCGTGATAAAATTTAGTTCAAAAAATATTTTTTTATAGTAGTATTATAGTTGATTTCTTATTTATTTGATGGTTTGAGTTTGAAATATAAATGTACTTGAAAAGTCAAAATTTGAGGTATAACTCAACATTTAAAAATATTCTGCATAGATGTTACAGAATAGAAAGTTGGGAGAGTGAGTGAAATTACATATTTGAAAATATCGTATTTATCAGTAAATATCGTAATTACACAAAAATCGACTAAGGGAGCCGGCTTCCAGTAAATACCGTATTTATCAGTCGCCGATGCCTGTGACAGGTAAATATTATATTTACCTGTGAATATAATATTTACTAAGAAATACTGTATTTACTCGAAATACCATATTTACTCAAAAATTCAATCGTCAGCGTCAGGGACTAGTAAATAACGTATTCACTAGTAAATATTATATTTAATCGTAAATACAATATTTATCTGAAAATCCAGTTGTCACCGCTGGTTACAATATTTGCTCAAAAATTTAGAAATTCTTCCTACCGGTGTCAGAAACCAAAATCACAATAAAAAAAAACAAAAATCATGAAATAATGGACAAAAAAATACCAAAAACAAAAATCCACCAAAACCACATAACTCATAAATTACAAAATCACCAAGAAAAACAAAAATATGAGATCTAACACCCCTGCCATTGTCGCTATCGGCGCCGGTTATAATATTTACTCAAAAATCCAGAAATTCTCCCAACTGGCATCAGAAACCAAAATCACAATAAAAAAACAAAAATCATGAAATAATGCACAGCAAATACAAAAAATTCTACCAAAACCACATAACTCATAAATTACAAAAATCACCTAAAAAACAAAAATATGAGATCTAACGTAGCCGCCACTTCGTCATCAATCAGCTTCAGCGGCGTCAACAATGATCATCGCAATTAGAAGGATCACTAGAGAAAGATCTGGAGAGAGAGTTCATTGCGATCTCTAGAAACGGTCAAGTAAATTCGATCTCCGACGACCTCCGGTATATTTACTTAACATTTCCAAGACCAAAACAACAATGAGGGCCTAATGAACCAAATCTCAACATGTTACTAATAAGGAAATAAGGTTACATATATTTTGGGTCAGAATTGGAATTTCTGTGTGAAAAAGTTACACAAAGGTCACCGTTTCTTCCTTTCAAAAAGAAATTGAAGGTAATAAATGTTAAAGGATCTGTCATTCTAAAAGGTTACATTTTTTAATTTGACTTGTTCCTAATTTTAAAATCAAAAAGCATTCTAACACAACCTACAAGTACACGGAGCTTTTTTTAGCTTACCCTCCAATTAAATCTCACCCTTTTATTTTAATCTAATGGTTCAAGCTAATGTTGTATGAGAAACAACACTACTGGGGCAAGATAGGAGACTTATCATATATATATATATATATATATATATGTATATAATACAATAAGACAACATTATTTTTCATGTAGAAGTATTACATTATATTCACCACAATATTTGGACCGCAGAAAATATTCACTTTTTTTCCCCCTTTCATGTGGTAAGGGCATGCGTGGATAACTGAGTTACTAAAACAGAAACAAAAGCATCGATGGTCAGTTCAGGTGTTGAATGAACTCCTAAAAGTTAGTAGTATGGATGACCCAGGGGGCATTCCGTATTTCTTAGAAAATGAGGATGGGAGTCGCAATGAACTACAGTTAGAAAATTATAAAGAACCTGTTTCCCAAGGTATGTAAGACCCTCTTCAACACAATGTTATATGTTTGGGTCAAAAAATTTTGAAACCAACATATTTGATATGTAACTTAATTATTTAATTTTGTGTTTTATGCATAATGTTTGTTTGGTCCTAATAGAAACTATTTGACACCGTCTAAACAGATATGTAACAAATAAGAAATTAACAATTTCCTTTACTTATTAAAAAAATACAATAATAAAGAAAGTGAAAAACCCAACTAAAAACAAAATTAACTCACCAGATTAAAGTCAATACACACAAATAATAAACAAATGTCAAAGTTTAAAACCAAATATTACAATATAATATATGCCGAATATGCCGAATTTAACACCAAAAGTAGCAAAACACTGTATAGTGCTTTTCTTATTCAAATGTCAAAATTTAATATCGACACATTATTTTTGGCACTGCATGAAGAAATTAAATTAAGATACCAAGGTTAAATTTTGTCATTTATATAGGAAAAGACACTCTCCAGCATTAGGAAAACTAAGTGTAAATTTTAGTGCTGAAATTGTTTAATAGTATATTTAGTGTTGTATTTCGTACCAAGTATAGCTATGATTAAGAGATATGCCACGTCAGCACCCCTAGAAAACACGAATATTATCTTTAGATTCCATGTAGTACTGTAACATTAACTGTAGATCCCATTTATGTCAAACAAGACAAGAGTACTAATTTATTATTGTAAACATTCCATATAGTCTAACATTAACTTTAGATTCTTCAACATAATAATTTGCATACTCATTTTTAACTATACACACAAATATTTTCATTAAAGATTTTTTCTCTCTTTCCTTTTCCTGTTCATATATAGAACTGTGTCTAAGTTCAAAACTTATACTTCGGTAATATGCATAGTTTAAATTATTAGTTACTTTTTTAGGTTATTAGCACTGTTAGACTCTAAAATTTAAGCATAACGACATTTTCATCTCTAAACTTTTAACTTTGATATATTAGTCCTTAAACTCTCATTTTTTCTGATATTATAGTTGACCAATTTTTTTTTTTTTTAAATTTAACGTAGATAATCACATATTTATTGCATAATAACAAGTACAAAATGTTATAGTTTTTAACGTGTAATAATGGCAAGAACGGGAAAATTTTGCTTATAACGTTTAAGTTATCAAGCAATTGACACATAATTATCTTTGTTCAATTAAAGCTATCCGTCGTCAATTTTATTTGAAGGACCAAAACTGTCAAAATTAAAAAAAAAAAAAAAAAAAAAAAAAACCTAAATAAAGAAAAAAAAAAAAAAAAAAAAAAAAAAAAAAAAAAAAAAAAAAAAAAAAAAAAAAACCTAAAGTTCAAAGGACTAATATACTAAATATAAAATTTTGGAGACTAAAATTAAAGTTTAGGAATTAACAGTACCGATTACATATAAAAAGTAAACTATACGCTTGTAGTGGCGTCATTGACGGTCAACAATTTGATTGGTTGCAGTGATCAAGGAGAATGAAAATAAAGAATCCTCGAAAATAAAGAAAGAAACAGCTTTACTAATTGCCGCAAAAAATGGTATCACAGAAATGGTGCAGAGAATCCTCGAAAACTTTCCTATGGCCTTATATGATGAGGATGAAAATAAGAAGAAAGTTGTGCTGTTGGCGGTAGAGAACCGTCAAGCGGAAGTGTATAAGCTTTTGTTGGATAAACATTCGCAAAATGAAAGTGTGTTTCGGAAGGTTGATAGTGATGGTAATGGTGTATTGCATCTCGCCGCAACTAAAGGAGACCATAAGCCCTGGCCAGTCCCTGGGGATGCCTTGCAAATGCAATGGGAAATCAAATGGAAGAAGGTAATTAAGATGAATTACCTTGATTTGTTTATTTTCTCTTCATCATACAACTCTAAGACAAGTACTTATATAAGTACTTCTACATACATATACATATACATATACATATATATATATATA